CCTTCCTGGAAGATGATCCCAGGAAGCTTATTCAACATGGCAGAGCAGATACATGAGACCAAGAGGGACAGAAATTTGAAAAAAAGGTGTATATTAATGAATGGGTCACCACTATGGGTGCCTGGGGCTCAGTCCCACTGCAGACCTTCTGGGAGAGATGCTCCAGAATGGTCCTTCTAGCAGTGAAGTGGCTGGGGTATTTATCCACCATCTCCTATCCCTGGTTTGTTGAGAGTTGCTCCATCTAGGGCATCATCCCGCAGAACGTCCATCTTGCCCTGTAGGTGGGCAAAGTTTGTTCCCTCCAACTAAGAGGGAGGGAGACATGGGGAGCTGTGGGGACGTACAGAAACTGTCAGCAAACGAGCTCCAGGAAAGACCGAGGGAACATGGGTGGGACCCCAGCAATGTCTCCTACATAAAGAGATCTGATGAAGGATAAAAAGGGGACTTGACAAAGTCTGAGGGTTCCTGATTTCTGAATCAAAATATACTGTTTTAAAAGCAAAGGGATTCCTTATCCTGAAAGGTTTGCCCACATAGCAACTGCTTTGATAATTATGCCTCATCATCATTGGCAGCATTTTGAAAAAACATTAAAGCTAGAAAGGACTTCAAGGTCACATATGGTCCACCTTAAATGAGCCTAACCAAGTCCCCAACAACTTGTTCAATGACAGCACATGAATCATGATACCTGAATACACCACACACACACACACACACACACAGAGAGAGAGAGAGAGAGAGAGAGAGAGAGAGAGAAAGTTCTGTTTCATGAGGGCAGGGATTCTTACCTATTTCATTCACTGATGTGTCCCCAGCACGAGACCAGGGTCTATAAAACACAAGATCGGTGCTAACAAATACTTATCTCATTTGTCACATAAGCTTTTGTGACTTTCCCCAGAAGACAACGTGACAGGTTCCGTAAGTTTAAATGACAACTGAAGTAGCCATCGGCCCTGGAGTTCTTAGCCTAATTTTGCACCCTGGACCCTCTTGGCTGTCTGACGCCTATGGAGTCCTCAGAAAAATGTTTTAAAATGCATAAAGTAAAATACATAGGCTTACAAAGGAAACCAATTAAAGCATAGTTATCAAAAAATATATTTTAATGTTATGGTTATAATGCATTAAATAACAAGATCTGTGATGGGTCTAATAACTGCCATAATTTCCAATAAGGAATATAAATGATTTTTGGAGGTATCTGCAACAAGTATAATGTGGTAATTTCTGCCGATGACCTATACCTAGGTCCTGCTTATACTACAGTGGTTTGGTGCCTATGTTCATAATTGAAGGAGCTGCTACCTTTCATTTGAGGTTAGTAAAACTGAAGGTGTAGTTTTTTCTCATCCAAATTCATGGACTCCAACCGTCTCCCCGACACCCACAAACTGACAACCTCCTGAGCAGTTCACTGGGCTGGGGATGGAGAGAATCCTTGCATAGAAACATACTCTGAATTCAAAATAAACTGACACAGAAAACTGGATGCCAGATTGAAAAAAAAAAAAAACCTGCATTAGTCTTTTGGGGTCTTTCATGTACATGTATGGCAGGTAAAATTTGAACACACATTTTAATAAGGATGCTAGAAAAATATCATTAGTAATACCTCTTATGGAGCATTTCCAGTGTGCCAGGTGCTGTGCTAGGGACTTAAATGTACTATCATTCATCCTCAAATAACTTTGCAAGGAGAGGACAGTGAACTCCATTTTTCAGATGAGAAAATGAGCACAGAGAAGCCCAGTAATTTGGCTAATGTTGCAGGTAGGCTGATAGCAAAGGCTTTTTTAACCAGAAGTTGTCATACTACTAAATCAGAATTATCTGGAGAGAGCAAGTAGTCAGAATACCAATTCTAGGGTCTCACCACTGGGTTGATGCCCTAGAACTGACATTTTTCAACGGCACCCCTGAGATGATTCTGATACAGGCTGCTTGCAAACTGCACTTTGAGACACACATTGAAATTTGTGTGTCTGGTTCAGGTTGCTTGGGTGTTTGTTCCAGGGAGGTGTCTGTGCCCAGTGCTGGTTTGGGCTACCCTCCCCTGTAAACAACCCCAGTGCACGCACTGCCTGCTACCTCCACCAGATGTTGCAGGTCATTCCTTCCATCTTCCTCCCACTTCTCCATTCTCATATCTCTGTTGTCTCCCCCATCCATGTGGCTTTGACAAGTCTTTGTTAATGGAAACATTAGAATTGGTGAGAAAAGAGTGGTTATAGTTTAGAGGGCTTACTTGGGGTGGAGAACAGTCTTCCCTGTTTTCTGAGGCAGCTTCACTGGGAGCTATTTGCCGAAAATGGGGGAACCCTGCAAAGAACCACTCTCAGAATTGAAATCAAACTCCTCCTTCCCTGAAAGAAACATGCATATGGTTCATCCAGCCTGGCTTTTCCAGGCCAGCAGAGCAGCAACCAGACACAACATCCTTTTGTGCCCAGAGGCGTTTGTGTTTAAAACTCCAGCAAAAAAGAAAAATGACAGTTAAAGGGGTAATTGAGCATCTGTGGATTATCTGTTTGTTTTCTTTCCCGTCTCTGAGCTCAGGAAACAATGCAAATAGCCGAGCCACCCCACAGCTTGTTCCTGCTGCAGGAGCCTGTGTGAAATGCAGGACAATGGCAATGAACATGAGTCATCCCTCTGGACACCTTGCTTTGTCCACCCATAGACCACTGGCCCTGCCCTCATCAGGAGGCCCCCTTTTATTCTGCTTAGTTGATGATGAAGATTAAAAAGGGCTAAGAAAAATAAGGCGAGGTTCATAGAAATTAGGCTGAACTTGAGACCTAATTTTAAGACTGCTAAATAAAGATGCCGTGATTAATAGTAACAATAACAGACATAGTAATAAGGCGTTTTATATGTACTGCCTATCACAGGTGGAAAAAAAATCACTCTTAATTTTGAGAATTAAGAAATTTGGATTCTAGAAAGATTTAATTAGCTTAGACACAGGGACGTAGCCATATGGCAACACTTTATAAAGCGCTAGGGCACTTTGTTCTGTTTAGAATGACATGTGTGTGTGTGTGTGTGTGTGTGTGTGTACACGCATGTATGCGTGTGTGTTTTCTTATCTGTTCTCCCCCTATAGACTCCCAGTTGTCGTTTACTACTGTACACCCAGCACTGAGCCTGCACTCAGTAGGTGCTCAAAAACTGTTTGTTGAATGAATGAATGACAATTCCAAAAATAGGAATGAGTCCTGTCTTGTGAAAGCAAAATTTTTTAAAAATACAAATTTACTTTTGTAAAAGTAGATTAAATTAAGTAAAGATGGAATTTTCAGAAGTACGACTCAGAAAGCCTAAAAATGTTTTCTAAAGTGGATACACCTAAGTGTCTGTTTCTCCCCAGATCCTTGGATGGTTCCAGATAAGTAGGAAGTTTCCTAAAAATACATGAGCTGCTAAAAGGGAAAGGGCTTGTCATGTTTGGGTCGTGGGGGTGAGATGATCACAGATGACAAAGGGTGGAGGACACGTGGGTGGGGTGGGGGTTGTTTGCCTCCGCTGGCACCAAAGGTGTCTCTTGGGCTTCCCTGGTGGCGCAGTGGTTGAGGGTCCGCCTGCCGATGCAAGGGACACGGGTTCGTGCCCCGGTCTGGGAAGATCCCACATGCCGCGGAGCGGCTGGGCCCGTGAGCCATGGCCGCTGAGCCTGCGCGTACGGAGCCTGTGCTCCGCAACGGGAGAGGCCACAGCAGTGAGAGGCCCGCGTACCACTAAAAAAAAAAAAAAAAAAAAAAAAAAAAAAGCGTCTCTTTTCTCTTGTGCAACAGGCAACTTTCATGAGGAATCAGGGCTTGTTCCTCACTGACCAGGCAGGCACTGAGAAGAAGTCATGCAAGGAAAGACTGAGGTTGCCAGAGCAGCAAACAAATGGATAATAGGAGAGCAACTGGCTGATAGTTATCAAGATTTGCTGGTATAATGAACTTCTAAGGATGTGCTACTGCCAGCAATTGAAGACTTGGGGAGATAACTCATGCGCTTGCTCTCATGTGGTGATGACTTTACAGGGGTAGGGGGATTCCCACCCTAACACCAAAGAAAAGGATTTCCCCTACCCCTGCTCAGATCTTCTGAAAAATGATTATGCAGAAAGTGAGTGAAATCCAAACTATGTACATTTCTCTAGGGAATTTCAGTAAATTACATTTTATCACAAATAAAACCCAACCTAAGCTACTATGTTCAGTCCAGCTTTTTAATCCAAAGTGAAATGCCAGACTCAAGACCAAGAAGCACCAGAAGCTATATTAGACCAATCGTTCAAGAGGCGCCATTATTAAAGCTACTTATATTTGCCAAAATAAATCCACGTGTTTTCACCTGGAAAAGCCAACTCCCTCCCCATCCCCCATTGTTTCCTTGCTCTTTCTTTGCTTTTCCTCTTGCAGAAATGAAATCCCATCTTCATCATTCCCCTCTCTCCTCTGGGTGCCCCAGAAACCATTTTAGTCTGTTTCCTTGTTCAAGAAAGCATTCAAATGTTAGACAGTAGTGTGTTTTAATTCATTTTGAAAAACAAACTCACATGGATTGATTCTTCAGGTCCCCTTACTTGGACCTGACACACTATGAAGTCCAAACAACTCTGCATAGTTAAATTAAACAGGTTCTTGTGCTGTGAATTCACTGGGTGCAGGTAGCAGTGAAACATTCCCAAGACAATCACTAGACATGCAGAACGCCAGCCAGAAGCATGGGTCACTTTCAGGGGTCTTGCTGCAGGGAGCGTGAGGCTGTATTTGGTGTACGTTGACAACGGTATAGGGTAAGCCATCTGTGTTCAAGGGAGCAAAGCCTCCAATATTCCTCTTGAACCTTAAGGGGTGTCTTTCCAAACGAAGTGTGGTTTCAATCGCTAAACTTCAGAGTCAGATACCTTTCCGAGTTTTATGAGTTGCTGCTTGGAGAGTCAAAGCCAAGCCACGATGAGTGTAAAAGCTGGCTGACCCCTTCCTTCCACTCCTGATCCAGCCAGTGGAGGGGGGCTGGGGTCTGTCTGCCTAATAGTTTCTAGCCCATGTGCTTATATTGGGATCGGTCCCTAGGGATCTGGACCTGGTTGGCAGTCATTTTGTGGTGGAGATGGTAAATCACCAGCGTTACCACAATGACGAGGCCCAAGATGAGCCCCAATATCAGGGGCAAGGTTTCCTCCAACTGCTCCCGCTCATCCACTGGGCATTTATGCTCTGAAATGGGAAAGAAGAAGAAAAGCGATGAGCCCCTGCCAAAATATTCTGAATCGTAAATCTGCTCAAGAAAACTAAAAGGCAGATAGAGGTGAGAAGATTTCTCAAGGAAACTTCAGAGATATTTTCTTTTTCAGAAACAATACTTCCCAACCAAACTTAAGGCCCAATTCCTTAAAATTTCTGCATAGTGTAAAATAAAAATACATCAGTTAAATAGGGCAATATTCAGGCTATTGGATTCCAGGCCAATGTCAATAAAGCTTCCAAATGATTTATGCAAATTTTCAGAGTTTGGGCATTAGGCACAACCACCATCATTTTTATTGTTTATTTAATTTTTTAAACTTTTTACTCGTGTATAATGTACATAGAATCGCAGACAAAATACACCTTTTAGAAAATCTGAAATTACCAGGTGTTGTCAATGATACAGAGCAATTGGAGCTCTTGTCCACCATTGGTGGGAAATGGTACAATCACTTTGTAGTAAGGTAAGGATAAACATACACCTACCTTATAACCCAGCATTCCACTCCTAGGAATTTACCCAAGAACAATGAAAACATATGGACACAAAAAGACTTGAACATAAATGTTCATAGGAGCTTTATTCATAATAGCTTAAAACCAGAAACAACCAAAATGTCCATCAGAGTAGAATGGATAAATAAACTGGGGTATATTCATACAATGGACTATTAATCAACAATACAAAGGAATGAACTATGGCTCCACGTAACAAAATGGATGCATCTCAGAAATATTATGTTGAGTGAAAACTGTCAGACACAGAAGAGTACATGTTGTATGACTCCATTTACATGAAGTTCAAGGGCAGGCAAAACTAAGTCTATGGTGATTGAAGTCAGAGAAGTAGGGAACAGTGTGTCTTGCAGAACAGGACACAAGAGGACTTCAGGTGTGATGGAAATGTTCTGAATGTTGATTTAGGTGAGGGTTGTGTGACTGCAAGTATAGGTGAAAACACACTGAGTTAACACTTCAGATTTGTGCATTTTGATATATGTAAATTATACCACCATTTAAAAAAGAAAGTGTAGGGCTTCCCTGGTGGCGCAGTGGTTGAGAGTCCGCCTGCCAATGCAGGGGACACGGGTTCGTGCCCCGGTCCGGGAAGATCCCACATGCCGCGGAGCGGCTGGGCCCGTGAGCCATGGCCGCTGAGCCTGCGCATCCGGAGCCTGTGCTTCGCAACGGGAGAGGCCACGACAGTGAGAGGCCCGCGTACAAAAAAACAAAAAACAAAAAACAAAATCCATGTTCTAAAATAAGTTAAAAATCTAGGGCTTCCCTGGTGGTGCAGTGGTTGAGAGTCCGCCTGCCAATGCAGGGGACACGGGTTCGTGCCCCGGTCCGGGAAGATCCCACATGCCGCGGAGCGGCTGGGCCCGTGGGCCAGGGCCGCTGGGCCTGCGGGTCTGGAGCCTGTGCTTCGTAACGGGAGAGGCCGCAGCGGTGAGAGGCCCGCGTACCGCAAAAAAAAAAAAAAGAAAGTGTAGAGTTTGATGGATTTACACCACACACATCAGAACTGGTATCAGAATTGTGGTGCCAAAAGTATTAGCTTTAAATGGATAATACATTTGGTATAGTTATGGGGAAAATCATCTAATACACCATCCTTTAAAGAAGATAGAGGAGAAAAGCATGGTGTATTTTGGCAAAAAAATTATGGTCACAATATTATTATAGTTTATTTCTTTTTTTTTTTTAATTTTGTGGTACGTGGGCCTCTCGCTGTTGTGGCCTCTCCCATTGTGGAGTTTATTTCTTTAAAAATTGTTTTGTTGCCTTAGGAGAAAACCTGAATTAAACACATCACCGGAGAAGAATATAAAGGGAGTATTAAACTATGGACGAGAAGTCAAAAGTAATTATGGGAAAATAAGGGGATGTCAAAAATTATCATGAAAAATACTGAATCCCCTTCCCCACCCATCCCCATTCATTAAGTGGTCAAAGAAAGGGGAATTCCTGAGTTCTCTTTCCCTTACCCACCATTCCAAACTCCACAAAGCTCTAGAAACCACAAGTACTTTGTATCATTCATGTGGCAGCAAAAGCTGGCTGCTCCGATTCTCATTTCTCCTCCTTAGCATGAAGATTCATGTGTTTCACTGCAGGAAACAGATTCATTAATCTGTTTGATTACAGGAGCTTCCCTGAGTCTTCTGGGTCTTATATAATATATGGACAATGCACTGTATTATCTTCCTAAAGTCCAAAATTATTCTGAATTCTGAAAAACATCTAGCTCCAAGGGTTTTAGGTGAGAGATTGTGAACCCATAAAAAAAAGCCACGCATTCCCCTCTCAGGCTTAAGCCACTGTCTTCAAACTCTGCCTTTGACCCCCAGGAAAAACAGTATTTTACATTACAACCCAGAACATACGTATACATACATAACTAAAACCAAAGTGTTATAAAACAATGGTTTTCCTTACTTTGTGCCGCTAATAATTTATCCTCTGTACTATTCTCTTTCATTTAAAACAGTGCTGGTCATGACCCACTAAAGCAGAGGTTATAATCTTTCTAGTGTCAGTGTGATGAAACTATACCCCTTCTCAGAATACTTATGATTGCATAAAAATAAAACACATAAGATTACAAAGGAAACAAATACACTGAAGTTCATCTATTAAAATATTTTTAAATAATATGAGGGACAGTTATATATATATTTATTAGTACACAGGTATACTGGCTGTGACTGCAAAGTAGGGAGAAGCATAACTGTTACTTTGCAAGATCTGCACAAACATGTGGGAAGAACAAGACTATTATTTATATTGGTGACAAAGTCATAGGTATGATTAATACTACTGTGGGTTGTTACCTTTATTTATAATTGAAGGAAATGTTAAACATTAATTAGAAGTTAAAGAAAATAAAGATGCAAATGTTTCCTATTGAAATGTACAGACCCCTTGAATTCTATACACAAACACTATGCACTCCAGGATTATGATCCTGTGCAATGAACTGATTATACAACCCACAGATTATAGAGCAAGGACAGCTGGCCTCCATCTCTGTCTGGGAGAAGAGCATCCCTTGAGCCCAGCTCAGCATCTGGCTTTTGGTGCTCGGAGACCCCTGACTCCCTGTTCATCTCCACAGGTCTTGGGGTCCCTCACACCTCTGCCCTGGCTGGACTTACAGTTCTAGAGAACACAAAACAGAGGCCCAGGGTGGATGGCCCATGATTGGAAAAAGCAACAACCATCCCAGTCATTGCAAAGAACCAGATGAAGACAGATCAGACAAAATTGTGTAACTGCCAGCTGCCAGTTCAAGTCCCCTCAACCATAAACCTGGTGTGCCCAATTCAATCCTGAATCATCTTAGGTTCTGTTTTCTAGACGTGTGTTTTATTTTGTTTTGTTTGATGACCACAGCATTTTAAAGTTGTATTTACTCCCTGAGGCAAACAAACTGTAAAAGCTCTTAATGAAAAGCAGCTCCAGATGAACAGCATTGAGATGGGCCACGGACCAGGAGGCAAGCTGATTGCTTTCTCCAGCTCTGCTAGCGCCACAGACTTTTCTTGTTGGAGAAGGTGGGCAAGCCTTTTGCTGGCCGTGCTTCCCTCTGCTGTCTGATAGGGCAACTGGAGGGAGGGGTTTGCCCCTCTTTCCATATCTTCTCTGGACTGGCTCGGGACTCCTGTAACCTCAGCAAAATGTATTTTGTGTACTGAGAAGATGTTAAGATGAGTGGGCTTTGGAGATCTTTGGCTGGAGACAAGCAGATACTCTCACCAAGATGTAAGGACAACAGTAAATAAGAAAACAATTACTGATTGATGCCAGTGTGTGCCAGAAACATCCCTGTGCACAAGGAAGAGCTGTATAAACTCTTTCCCACTAGCCTGTAAGCTCCACCAGGGCAGGGAAAGTTCCTATATCCCAGTACTGGGTGTACAGGTGTACAGACACCAACAGGGTCCTATGACCTTGGTATACACCATTCCCACCCATTCCAATAGGCTTTGACTACAAGGCAGGTTAGACATCCTGGAGAGTCAACGCCCCCCTTCCCCACCCCAGCAGCCATCAGTGGCAGATGGGAGTTGGAGGGTAACTCAGGTGGGTACCATACTCTTTCCCAGAAGTTCCAGCAGTGTGAGCCCCAGTGCCCACAGTGGTAACCTGCTCACTTATGCACCTGTACTAGCTTCCTTGCCTTCCCACCTCACTTCCCCACTCCACTAGCAGTGCCTTCTAGAACCACCTAAATAAATTACTTGCCCTTACATACTTATAGAGGATGTGCTTCTTGGGGAACCCAACCTAAAACACTAGGCTCCAGAGCAGTAGCAAGAACACAGAACACTACGACTGGCTGGCTACGTGGCCCTGCGCTAGGCCTCTGTGTTCCAGCCCTCGACACAGTTCTCTGTGGTGTTAATAACAGGATTGTCTCCCTCTGGATGCTTCCCCAGGAGGCTCTGAGAAGGAGCACCTGCTCAGGTGGCATGTTTCTTCGCTGAGAGGTGCCACGCAAACCACAGGTGCACACAGCACTCTGGATCAGCATCGGCACACCATGCCCTGGTTTGCAGCATGGCAGCCAGTCTTGGGGCGCTCAGTTGGGGGTGATGTACATTCATTTCCACTAAAGCACAGTCATTTGTCTATAGATCTGGGTAAAATACAGATCAGGTGGTATCTCCCAAACACACTGTTAGAAACAATGATAAGCTCATGAATTCAGAGTACCCGACAACCTTTCTGAAGATGGCCCCCCTCATTCACATGTCTGGTACAGTTGCTCAGCTGCAGCAGCTGAGGCTTGGAGAGGCTAAGAGCACAGGATCTGATACCCAAAGACAGGTTCCTGTCCCAGCCCTGGCAGCCACAAGGAGCGCAGTCTTAGCCAGTAACTTTACCCCTAAGTCTCAGCTTCTCCACTGTAAACAGGGATCTCAGTACCTTCTTCACAGGTCTCTTTATTTGTTTGTTTCCCCCCTTGAGAATTAAGATGGGCCCAGTCTATATGTGGCGACTTAAATGCCCATTAAACCTGAGTGTTTAACAAAGGGGCACAGAGGCACCTTCGTGTTCTATTACATTTCTTCTGTCTTTATGCGTGAGAGTCGCCTTTAATTCAAGCCATTAAAGTACTCAGGCTGATCTGTTCCCTCCCAGTGATGCATCCTCCGTGCTAGCACAGTCAGAGTTCTCCTGGGGCCTCAAAGGGACTCACTACCAGGAATGAATTGTGGAAGGACAAGTTACCCAACACCCGCTGAGACACATGGGCTGCCTTGAACTGCAGGCTGAGAGTTGCCACACCAAGTGTACCTGTCATAGAAATAAGCTGGCCTCCATGAATTGGCCCCTCGGTGGTTTATATTTTTCACTGCAGGCTGAGACCCACATCCAATTATTTAAAAAAAAAAAAAAAGCCCAAACAGACACATTTAGCCATTTAGGGCCTGTCTGTTTTGCATACAAATCTCACCCAACAGCTGTTACCCACTGATAGGATAGATAAGGCCCTAAGCTTCTGCTGCCCCCCCGAGCTCTCTGACCCAAAGACTCCTCCCCGTGCTGCTAAGTGACATCACCTAGATCCATAGCCCCCTCCTGACACCCCTCTCCCTGCCAGGACATCCCTTATCCTCCTTTCCTTTGGGATAGTGGTCCCCAGGGTGCTGTAAGCCTTCTTCTGAACGGTCCCATGCTGTGAGGGGCTTTCCTTACACAACCTGCCCAAGTGCCACCCAATGAAGCTTGTGTGTTTCTGCCTCTCACGGTCATATCATATTCCTTGATCAGCTCAAAATCCCTCAAATCCCCCTACCGACAGTTTGCCATGGCCAGCAGTATCAGCAAGGAGCTTGCTAGGAATGGAGTCTCTTGGGCCCTGCCCCCAGAACTACGGAATCAGACTTGACTTGGCATGTTAACAAGATCACCAGAGCTGTGCACAGTGACCTGGAGCCTCTGAGCTACTTTCATTGGGGATCAGCATAGTAGCCAAGCTCAACGGTCTAAAGGGATTTGTGTGATAAAGATGTCATCCCCATCTGGGCTGCTCTCAGCCTCTATGAGTGTCCACTAACTCATTTCACTGACCCTTCCTTGCTTTTCTCAGAATCTATGAAGGAGGCAGGTGGGAGACTGCAGACTGCCAGGCATGACCCCCTTACACAGGGAATAGGCTCTTCATTGGAAGCCCTTATGCTGCATGTCCTGCTTGCACACGACAGAACGCATGCACACAGTCCTGCAGTAGGCGTCAGACATACGACCAGGTGCCCTCCCCACCGCCACGCAGGCAGGCTTCACTCACCCACACAGGCATTAGCAACACATCAGAGCCTCCTTCTATTCTGGGGAGTGGGGTCCAAGTGCCAGGTTCCGAAAAGGCACTCCAAAAGGAATAGTTCAGATTCCACCAAATCAAATAAAATGATCTCTTACGAAACACACTGGGGACAGGTGCTGAGAGGCACAGACAGGAGGAACCAGGAACAAAAGGAGCCCTGCCACACAAAGGCACATTGATTCAGTGAGACATCCTGAATAAGGCTTGCCTCCTCCCAGGAGTGTCAAGGCTTGAGCCCCAGGGCACCATACAGGAGGCAACACCCTAATTATTCCCCAGAAAAGCCTGGGTGAGACAAGTGCAATTTGCTTGTGCTTAATATATCTGCATTTAGGAAGTTATACATGCTTACAAACTGTCTAAATCTATCTATTTAAGCCCTGGAAGTGGATAAGAACTGCTTTTTATACAAAAACGTCATTAAATCTATGCCAAGAATATCACTGATTTTTAGGAAAACAGCTCTGGTCCTTATTCAGTACTCATTTACTCTTATTTTGTACACAATTCTGACATATATGAGATCTGATTTCTCCATTCATAAATGACTATAATCAGCAACTTAGAAATAACCCAGAGAGGGTTAGGGTGAGATTGTGATAAGGAACTAGTAAAAGCAGCAATTATAGCACCAGTAGTACCAAGAAATGAAGAAGTGTCTAAAAACCATTGACCAGAGAAACACAAAGAGTAACTAGAGACTACTGAAAGTACCTATACAAACTCAGAAGTATGTGATCCAATATTTTCAAAATGAATTCTGGGCCATCCATAATCATAAGTCCACTTACTTTTAATTACATTTAATATTTTCAGTTTAAGAAAGACACTTACATTTTATAAATACTTTCATAATCCACAGTATTTTTTAGTATTAAGATCTTGGCGTTTAGTTTAGTTTCAATTTTGTAGAAAACACATTAAGATGGAATAGCCCATACAGGTAAGAGCCATAACAGGTAGGCATGGCACTGCTGTACTAAATGTATTAAATTCTGATTTGCCTGGCTTTGAAGCATTTGCAAGTCTCTATTAATTGAGCCCACAGCTTCGGAATATCAATTCAGCCAAAGTTAACAGGGCATCTGCAATGTGCCAAGCACTGTACTTGTTGCTAAAAATATAAAGATGAATAAGAAGGAGGCCTTTCTCTTTAGGACAGTTTAACTTAGGAATTCCTTAATGCCTTCTGAATAAATCATGGGGGGAGGGATTCTATTCCGTATACTTTGAATGGGCGGGGCATTTAATGAAAGCTGGACTCCTTGGGACTGATTTAATGATTTGTGTGTGACCCAGGTGGGCATTCCCTAATATCCTACACATTCGAATGGTTGTATTCACCTGGGGACTGCCAGCCCAAAGGTAGGCATCAATAAAGCAGTCAGAATCTCTCCCCATTTCTTAACCACAAGGAATAAATGAGAATATCAAACTGCCTTTAACAACCTCCTCCAGACAACAGAGAGAGAGAGAAAAAAAATGAATGGGAGAATTCACTTACTCCACTTGCCCAGAGTAAATTGTTGCTAGATTTGGACAAATTGAAGAATGTGAGCTTCTCTCCTGCCCTTCTTCTGGGATGCAGAGAACCAGGAAGATATGGACGCCCTGAACCTGCTCCAGCTGGATCCTGCCTGACCCCCTTCCAGGGCTTGCATAGACTGCGAAGAAGCCTTCTTGCATGCCCCAGCGGGAGCAGATCAGGGGCCTTGCCTCCTTGGAACCTCATGGGTGTCCCTCCATACAAAGGTGAGAGCTGTACAGAGGCAGGTCTCCATGAATCTCTCTCTGTAACCTGTACACACACACACACACACACACACACACACACACACACACACCTATTGCATTCTGGTCACACAAAAACTTAGACTCACAGTGGTAGAACCTAGGGCTGGAAGTGTCTAGAGGCCATGGTGAAACTGAGGCCCACATAAGCAAAGGCCCTTCTCCAATCCATGGCTCTCTCAATAGCTGCTTGGGATTTTTAGCTGCCTTTTCCTTGGGAAACTTGCATCAAAATTATATATTTTTTTCAGCTGACTTTCTTATCTTTCTCCCTATCCACTTTCCTTTTTTGGCAAAGGAGGGGAGGAAAGGAAAGATGAAAAAATAAGGGAAAAAAGGAAGGGAGGGAGGAAGGAAGAAAACAGAGAAAAAGAAGGGAGAGAAAGAGAGAGGAAAAGAAGGAAGTGAAGGAGGAAGAGAGAGAGGGAAGATGAAAGAGAAAGTCATTGTAGTTGATACAATTCAGTTTGTTGCCTTTAGTCTTTGAAAAATATTATAGAGGGAGGCAGTGCCATGATATCCTAGAGAAAGTCCACGTGGTAACAGCCTGGTACCCTGGCAGGTTGCCTTCCACATCCATCTTGAGGTCAGCCTTTGCTTCCTTCCTCTCCCTCTCCTTCTGCCTCCCCACCGACATACCTTCACTGAAGACAAAATCAGAGATGATGTCAAAGGGCTGGATGTGGACCGCAGACAGGATCATGGTGACTGTCTTCTGCGGATCACTGGAGGCTAGTGAAATGGTCTGCTGAGCTTGACATTCATAGGACTTTCCAGCTGGGGTGACCAAGGCAGATAGATGATGCGAGTTGGCTGTGTGCTTCCCGGCTGCAGGGAAGGCCCAGAGCAATGGTTAGGCCCCTATAGGGCTGGCAGAACTCTCATTATGGTGATCCAGATAGTTGACCTTTGCCTCTTAGTCCAGACCCCCCCTCTGATCCTCTGCTGACATGCCCTGTTGCCTTGCCCGGCTGGGGCTATGCAAATGTGAATGCACCCATTCTTTCATGAGCATGGATTTCTTAAATATTAATTTGGAATTTCCTTTTGGAAGAATAAAGTGATACCTAAAACCCCAACCCTTTTTACTATATAAGACCTCACAACAGAGATTCCAAAGATCCACAATGAACAGTGACTTGGTATCCTACACTTCGCACTGGCCTGCAGAAAATAAAATATCTTCCTCAGCAAAGCATGGCTGCTGCTAGTACTCTAAGCAGATGCCCTTGTACGCATACATATTCTTTGGAAGCCTGCCTCACCCCTTTTCCTCCTTTTCTGGATTAAGGTTTTTTTTTTTTTTTTTTTTTTTTTCTTTTTTTGGTCTAATTTAACTGTGTGAAACGTTTGAATATGAATTTTGATGAAGAGACAAAATTGCCCTTTTTACTGCGATGATAAGGGGTGAAATGGAAAAGATGACATATGTATTCTTATACATGTTCAGTAAAAATCTTTTCCCAACTCAGGTGCCCAGGTGATGAAAGGCTTCATTATGAGTAGATCAGATAATTTACAAAATAAAAAAATACATAAATTTAAATGTGGTCTTTGATGGTGCCTGCAGATCCCAGCATTGTTATTTGGAGCCTAGATATCCCTTGCCACAATATTTTTGGAGGATCTGGGTAGTTGTTGTAGTGATGGGCATGAAAAGCTAATAAATAAGGATGGTTTAGAGTCCACTCTGGGGTGGCCGCAGTGGATGACTGAAGATTGCGGTGAGGCCTGAGCAATGCGCCAAAAGATCTGAAGGCCATCAGATTCTGACCCAGAATGAAAGTCATACTGTCCCCCTTGAAGTTTTAGCGCATAAGAATAAAAACCAGGGTGCAGAAGAAAATAAAAATACAGCTTTGTCCTTCTCCGTGCTTCTTTAAAGGACAAATCATAAGAAAGCCATCCTGAAGCAGCCACAGGAAGACAGTCCCTCAAGAGACATCTCATCCAGGATCAGGTGATGGGTGACAGGCTGGGCCTCAGGCCCTGGGTTTCTTGCGCATCTACAGGGCCTGAAGGCCAGAGGACCCACCGGCGCTCCCGCTTGCTTCCTCCACCTTGGAGAGCAAGTCCAGGGCTACCTTGGCCTGGGAGCGCAAGGCCTTGACCCTGAGGAATTCGGCCTCCAAGCCTGAGATCCCTGCAGTGTCTGCGCTTGCCCGGGCTCCTTTCCCAGCCCTGCTGGTCTCTACTCACCACTGACCGCGTCTTTAAAATGGGTCTTCTCCGAGGAGTCATAGACAAACTGGACCTTGCTCAGCCTCCACGTCGCCTCGGGTCCCTTGGATGTGTTGTGACTTTCCTGCCGAGCGGGGCAGGCGCGCGTTAACCGCCCGAGCAGATCTGGGTGGGGAAACGGAGGGGCGGCCCCTACCCACACCCACCCGGAGTCTGCAACCCCTCTGAGCGCCCCACTAGCACTTACCTTTACAAACAGCATTTTGAGCGCGTACGCGCGATCCACCCAGAACACCTGCAGCTCCGACTCGTTGTGGCCACAGTGGCCCTTCACCTCAGCTCCCCGGGTCAGTGAGATATCAGCCTGTTCCGTGATTAGCTGGGAACACAGACGCCCCGCACCCCCTCAGCGCGCGAGCCCCAGTGGGGGCTGTAAAGAGCAGCGCGTCCAAACTCCGGGTCGCACGCCTGGGCACTCCTTTGCGCGCGCGCTCCCAGGTCCAGGAACATGCGGTTAGATGCTTTGCGTGCAGACCCGGCCGTTAAGGAAGCAGAGAGAGGGATTTACTTTCAAAGCAGGCGGGGCGAGCAGAAGGCATTACAAGCCGGAACCCCCATGCAGCATTTGGGAGCAGCCTGCAGGGTGTAGGGGGGAAGGCGGGTGACCCAGGTCTTCACAGGGTCTTGAGGGAAGGTGCCCTTCGTCCCTGGAGCCCTAGGAGCAAGCTGCGAGGGAAAAAGTGCCTTACATCTACATAATTGCTGGCCCACACATCATAAGGGACAATAAATTTGGCTGCAAACTCTGCCATGAGACACGTCGTCCCATTTTCCCGCACCACAAATATATCTTTTTCAGGGTTAGTGGAGAGGCCTGAGAGATTCTCCACTTCTTGTTCTGCCATGATTCGAGCCATTGTATCTGCAGAAAACAAACAAAAAATCCTATCGGTTAGGGGCTCAGCGAGCCCACGCGTCTCGGGCACAGGGGTGGAGAGACAAGGAGGTCTGCGGGCTTTGGGCTGCCCAAGTTCCTTGCCGGCTGCAGGGCGCTCTGAGAGCCGTTTCGCTGACCTAGCGCCAACAAATTCGACTTCGTTGCTGTTAATTTATAATAAAAATAAAATTAAAAAACATTTAAAGCCTTATTAATTTGTAATCCGACTGGCCTTTTTCTTCATCTTAGGCTTTTAAACCAAAGCTTTCTCGCCAGTGCTCTGAGCCCACGAAGCAGGCCTGTGCAGCATCGTGTCTGGGATTGGCGTACAAGTGTGTGGCTCTCTGGGGAATTCCCTGCCACTGATGGGAAGGTCCTCCCCTCCTCCCCCCAAAAAAGAACAAACCCGCCAAACATTAGGGCCACGTTTTGACCTTAAGCTAATGGCTTTACTGTGCCAGTTTTATTCTCTGCAAAGAGTGCACCCTGCTCTGGCGGTTGCCGAAACGCTACTTACGGAAGAGCATCAGAAGAACTCGAAGTCTATTCATGCCGAGAACGGCTCTTCCTCGGAGATCCATCCTCGCGGAGCAGCGAATAAGGCCAGTGGTGCTGCTGCAGAGGCCGCCCGAGAGGGAATCCCTCAAAGTCGCCGCTGGAGTGAGCCGGAGTGAGCGAGGGGCGGGGGCACCGAGAGGGAGGAGGGAGGGAGCACGCGTTCCGTACGCACTGGCGGACTTGGTGTGGATGGAGTACCGCACCGACCCGGGCAGGGTGAACGCTAATGTGTTCACTGCAGAGGAAAGGACCGCGTGGCGAGGGAGCTGTCCACGGCTGCGAGTGCTGAAAGGATTCGGTTGTATTGCTGGAGTGATTGTGGCTGGGCTTGTGCAGAGCTCCAATGAAATTTGGGAAGGCTAAAATTCTCCCTGAGTCTGTTTCCTGCGCTGCAATTGCATCCGCAAAGATGATTCTATCCTGAGAAACTTAATAGCACCCTCCGACTTATTCAATATCCCTACCAGTACAGTGATTAGGTGGTGAAGACATCACACCACTGGAGTCCTGGCTTCTGAAAATGCTTCTAGCTCCTGAAGGAAAACGGTGGAGCACAAATTGTTGCTGCTTTGGGGGAGGAGGCGTAGGCAGGAATAGGGAAGGAAAATGCTATGGCAACAGCTTCCTGCATTTGGAGACATCGCCTTCTCTCCCCTGCTCTCACGAGCTCAGGGTTTAAAGTTAAACTGATGCCTCATCAAGTGAGGCCGTTAGTCAATGCAGTATGTCTATTTGGGCTTGTTTTTTGTGAGTTCTGTTCTCTGATTGCACGAGGACTTTGAACTCTGGGGTCACCTACCCTCGCTCATTATATTGTGACTACTCTGCTAAGAGGAATGTAAGTGAACCCAAAGTTTGTGAGGGTTATGTAGCATCTTTTAGGACAGTCCTAGTTATATACACACACACACACACGCATGCACACATATAATACTCTACAGCATCTAGTGGGACAGAAAAAACAAATACTACGGGGCTAATTCCTATATTTACACTTTTTAGTAGCTTGCTTGATTTTTAAATATTTTGCTCCATAAATCAGAATACAGCACTTTCAGCAATAGGCATACTGTCCTAATCAATTGTAGTGATGTCCAAATATTTTACTTCTTAGTGGTGATTTCATTATATGAAAAATCAACAATATAATGTCATAAAACAATGTCATAATAAGGGGCAAATTGCAAAGTATTTTCATGTTCATTGTCAAATTTGATCCTCCCTACAACCTTAGAAGGTAGGCAAGGGAAGATATACCTTATTGTGGTTGTACATACCCCAAAATTGAGGCTCAGAGAAATTAAATGACCTTCCTCAATGTCACATGGTCAGTAAAATTAAAATAGAAAAATCACATTATTTAACTTCATAGGGATCATTTTCATTTTTCCTTATATAATACTTTGACTCTAAAATATACCATACATTGATTTCCATTAAAAAATCTTTATTCAGTGACCAAATAACAAGCTAACACCTAAGATCTCTAGCTCACATTCCTGAAATGTATAGAGTGCTGTTTTAAGTATAATAATATTCTGACATTATGCTTGCCACAAAGTGTTTATACAATTATTTTTTCAAACCTGTTCCTATATCAATAATGAGATTAATAGCAGTTCAAATTATGAAGTAATGTTTAAATCAATACTATATTTTTACATCTTTATTTTTATCTCTGTATTTTGATATTTCATCCAAACATTTCTCAATAACTTTATATAACTGAATATATATAGAAGCACTGAGGCAAAATTGTGATTGATACAAAGGCAATTATTATCAGTTGACAGTGGAATTTGTAAAAATTATATATGCCTAATGATTTGTCATGTTAGCAATTGTTAGTAAACACTTATTTTCCTGTAGCACTGTAAAAATTAGAAAGCAATGAGATATAGGTAATGGAACATTTATATATTCTCTTTCCCTCTCTCCCTTTAGTAAATGAGGAAAGAAATGAATGGATTTCAGTCCAGGAGTCACTATTTATTTTTTATGACCTTGTACAGATTTTAGTGTTCCTCACCTAAGAAACTGGGATAATAGCTCAGGGGATATCTGGTTAGGCCAAGTGAGCCAATGATTATAAAAGCATTAAAAAAAAAAGACAAATTAATTTAGACCATAAGCATTAACTGAGTACCCACTACTTGCACTATGTTTGGTAATCTGGAAACCTAAAGATAAACAAATACCATTATAAAGTAGAAGAGATATCTGTAACAGTTAGGACACTTTCTCTTGTGACACATTATTGCAGATATCTTAAATTATAAGTTGTTAAAAAAACAACTGAATTAATTGATGATTAGCTGCTTTAATAATAAAATATTAGATGGGACATAGCATTGGTCATGAATCTTAAGTTGTTGTAGTTGATTTACAAACCAAATGGTGGTTCCTTTGGAAAATGGTTTCTTTCCATACCTGACATAAATGATCTCCTTGTTGACCAGCAATTGAATGAGTCAAAAGAAAAAAAAAGGAAGCAATTTTAACTCCTTTTCTTCAGAGAATCATCTTCAAAGCATAACTAATTTAAAATCCCTTTGGGTATTTAATCTTAAACATAGCTTTACAAACACCCATTAACTTATTTGTCTATCTGTAATGATTCTTACATTGCAATAGGAGTCAGGTCATTATACCTACAACTTTCACGAACATTAATTAAATACTTTCTAATCATCCTTAAAAAAACTTCAGTTCTTTAAAATTACTAAAGAGATAATAAAGGAGAAAAACATACCATTAAATCATAGTAACAAAGTTTTCCAGGATCCATTCCATTCTTCATTTCTTAAGTGGGAGAGAAAGTAGGAGAAAAAATGCCATAAACATGTACACTCATGTGGATGATAGCTGTGTCAATTTTCATCAATGCTGCCGGCAGTCAATACAAATGTCACCCAAGTGCACTGGCTTTTGAATCTCTTCTCAATCCTCTAAGTCCTTCAAAGGATTCTCTTCAATTCTGGTATTTACTTATTGAATTAGTCTTTATGAATCTCATGCATGTCATTGAGTGGTTACTGTTTCATGTATGTGGAAGAAAAGACCCACTGTATGTATAGAACTTTTAGTTTGGATGAAAGAAAATGAGAAGAATCATGAAGATGTATGGTTGCCTGGCACAATGTGTGCACAGATGTTTAAGGAAAGAAAAAGTAAGATAGCCACCCCGGGGTGGGGTGGAATTGACCAAGGAGGCCTCTTGGAGAAGGAGATCTTAAAGAAGTGGACAAATTGATCTAAGGTAAAGGATAAAGAAGGGCAATGCAGATGGAAGAAAAATATATTAAGTAGGAGAGTCAGTGCAAAGATGTAATTCTTCATTGCTCCATATTTATCAATTTGCAATAAAGAAGAAATTAGACTCCCAAATCCACAGTGTCTTATACATAACCTTTATTTAACTTTTTTATTTGGTAATTTACCCATATATGGTATATGCAAAAGAATGGCATATACAAAACATTCTAAATAAAATTAAATATTCAACTTATTAGGTGTATCTCTTTATACTTGATTGCACAAGCAATTGACTTGTACCTGTAGAATCAAAAGTGGAAAGCTAAGCTTTGTTGCAGCTGAAATTTGGCTTGTTGATGTTTCAATCCACTTTACAGTGAAATGTAAAAATGTACTCTGGTGCTGCTGTTCCCACCACCACTAATGCTCTCCCCTGACCCAGCACACACACACACACACACACACACACACACACACACACACACACAGATAAGGAAGCACACATGGATAAAGGAAGGAGGGATAACTGAACTGGACAAGATGCACACAGCCCTTACACCCAAATTACTAGTTACCAAAACATTTTCTGTGCTCAACTTAATCACTGGACAATTATTTCATTTAACTTAATCACTGCCTTTGAAAACCTTTGAAATCCTTTTGGGATAGGAATTGAAAAATAAGTATACATAAAAATATTCTGTGCATATATTGGCAAACCCTAGAATGTGTGGAAAGAATCAGAAAATTAAGTTTGGCCCTCTGATGCACTCAGCTTGCATGACCTTGATGAAATTTCCCTCATCCTTCCTGTCATTGGTCTCTCCTGCGGCTAGTTTAAAGAAACCAAGCTATTTCTGCAATGAGGGTAACCAGCGGAGAAGACAAGGCACCAGAATAATAGCTCTTTCATTGGCAATGTATCTTCATGCTAAGTTCTTAGAAAATGTCCTTTTATGAACTCATTTAGGATAAATGCCTTCACATAGGAGGGAATGCAGGGGACAAAGTGTCTCTAAAAAAACTACCTGAATAAGCAGATGGTGAGGCCAGGTGATCATTCCTGAAAGGTTCAAGAGCACAGGAATTATTTTTATCTCTTGAGCCAGTAATTAGTTAACTGTTTTTAAAACAGTTTATGATAGCTACCGCTAGCTTCAATGTGTAAAATTTTAGGCTACTGAGTACGATCAGTCCTCTTGGCTTTCCTGGCAGTGAGGAAAATCTTAACACGGGGGGGACCCGGGACTTTTCTGTAAAAGACAAGAGTCAACTGAGAATTTTAAAAAGTCCTTTAAGAAGTTTTTTTCTCCAAGAAATACTAACAGTCATCCCAGTAGGCTTAAGGTTAGACAAGCTGTGGCTCATTTACAGCAGCTTGCTATCTGCGTTCTGAGATAATGCACTTCTTTAAAATTTCTTTTATCGTGTATCACAGGGGTTCCTTATTCCCAGTTACCTACTCTTTAAGTTCTCTATTTCTGCATATTCACCTGAAGATGTGTTGGAACTAAGGGAAATTTGTATTAATTGCTATGGGGTGGGGAGGGTGAGAGTGGGGCGGCCAGTCAGCTGAGCTTGGAAGGAAGCTTTGCTGGTGTGGACCTGGAGCCCCGGAGTTGCCCTGGGGTGTTCTGATGTTGTAAGTTTGGGATGTTTCTATGGCTGTTTATTTGAAACCATTGCAAGACGTTTGCTCTGGTAACCAAGAAAGGGAAAGAGGAAAGAGTCTTCAGTGTATTGGAAAGACGACTGGCATGGGAATCTAGGAAGCAATATGTTAGCTTTATTACTCCACTAACAAAAACTTCTGGGAGGAATGGTTTCACCTCTCTGGTCTTCAACATGCCTTTCCTACAGGATCCTTCCAGGACTGCATGCCCCGCTTCTATGGGTGACCTTAGTTAGGAAGTGATCTGAGCAATTCTTTCTAGGGGAAAGAAAAAAGCAAAATCGAAAAACCAAAACAAACAAACAAACAAAAAAAACCCGCTGAGGATTTCCATTACTAAAGCTTTCTATCCCAACGCGCAAGAAGCCTGCACAGATCTAGACTCACGGATTGCGGCCCTCGGCGTTACCTTTGGGTGACACCGAGTCACATGGGCCCGGTTGCTCGAGGTCTGGAGCTTGGCGGGGCTGGGGCTGCGGACTCCAGACCTGTCTGCTTCTGCCCGAGAGACAAGAGATGCGCGTTGCGGCGGTGCGCCCAGCGGCCCGAACGACGAGTTCGCGGCGACCTCAGCAGGGGAAAGACGTCGGCGCCAGGCACCCGGGTTGGACTTCACCGCACGTTCGCGAAGCTGCTCCCGGTGTGGAGGTGAAAGAGGAACCTTGCAGAGGTGTGGTCCAAGCCGGCTCCAAAGCCGGGTAAGAAGAATCAATTCCGAGGTTGCTGGAGTTGGGCGAGTTCGGGCCTTGTCTGCTGGACAGAAGCTCCGGGCTCTTTTGTGTTCTGGTGTCGAGGGGAATTAGGACTAGAAAGGGAGGAAGTAAGTTCCTGGCAGAGTGTTCTCTGGCTCCCCACGACTTTCTTTGGCGCTTCCAAGGCCGGGAAGCGTTGGCAAACCCCACGCTGGGGCGGGGAGGGTGGGCGGTGAGACCCAGGCTCTCTGCCTGCCTCGCGCCTCTCGGGTCCCTCCCCCGCCCAGAGGAAAGCCGGGGAGGCTTGAGCGGGGTGGGGTGTTACACAGAGGAGGGGGAAGGGGCCAGGTTGCAGAGGCTTCGCGTCTCTTCTTTTCTCTTCTTTTTTCTTTTCCTTTCTAACCCGCCAGGGTGGCATCCGCATCGGAGGGAAATGCCCCCGATGGGCCCCAGAGATCCAGCTTCCAGGGCAGAAGTCGGGAGGATGCTGCGCCGCAGGGCCAGGAGCGCTCAGGCATCCTCGCGGCGCGCGGTCCTTGGACCACTCTGAGACGTGGGCAAGGTTTTGAGACTCTGCCGAGAGGAGATCGAGGCTGAGGTGCCCGAAGAGGCTCAGAGGGCGCGCCCTCAGAGGGAAACGGCTCTGCCTGCGGGGCTGGCGGCCTGGGAACCGGGCGGGTCCCGGCCCGGGGACAGGACGGTGACAGGATGGACTGACTCACTGGGGCCTTCTGCTAGGG